CGTGTCCCCCCCGGGGCCCTGGCCATGCCTTGGCCCTGGCCCATGTCCCCTCCCTGGCCCTGGCCATGCCTTGGCCCTGGCCCTTGTCCCCTCCGTGGCCCTGGCCATGCCTTGGCCCTGGCCCTCGTCCCCTCCCTGGCCCTGGCCCTGCCTTGGCCCTGGCCATGCCTTGGCCCTGGCCCTTGTCTCCTCCCTGGCCCTGGCCATGCCTTGGCCCTGGTCCGAGCCCCAGCCCTGACCCGTGTCCTGGCCCTGCTGCCTTCCCCTGCCCAGTGACAGCACGTGAAGCGCGTTTGTGGGGGCCGGAGGAAGCCAGCTGTAGCTGGCCGTACAAAACACAAAGCTCTGTTGATGGCAAATACGCGCTTCAGCTAATTGCCTTTCCTGTGTGGGCCGCGGGGATGAAAGCAGCCGGTGCCGCAGCATCTGCCAGCAGCCAGGCACGGACAGGAACAGCCTTTAGGAGAGGAGGGAAAAGGAAGAGCCCAGCAGCTCCCGCCACCCCTGCTGCATCCTCCCTCCCTCCCCCGTTTCCTCACATGAAATACTGGACAGAATATATCATACCCATTCGTTAAAATCTGTAGAAGGGCTCTTCCCCTTCCTCACTGGAGGTACGGCCCTACAGTTTTGCAGTATATTCCAGTATCTTTTAACGAATCTCTTATTTAGTCTTAATGAGCGGCTCGCTAAATTGCTTTTCCCTAACTGATCTTTGTACAGCAATTCTGTTTAATGAAATCCCCTCAGTCTTGTTGGAAGAATTTTATAAAATTCATTAGATGACAGTAAGAGGCATATGCTTGGGCATATTTTTTTTGCTGGTTTCTGGTAACAAGTAGAAATGCGTCTCTTTCCAGCCTTTTCCCTTTACTGGGCTATCTAACTGTTTTATGGTCTCCATACTCTCTCCATTTCTCATAATAAAATTTGTTACTATGACAAAAAAATTCCACTAAAAAGTAGAAACTGTTCTAGTTATTCAATTGTTCCATTACCCAGCTATCAAGATTGAAGTGCCAATATATTTTTGGAAGTACTGAATGAAGATAACTTGGGTACATTTTTAGACAAGGCTATTTACTTTTGAGTTTTTTTAAACAGTTTATTTGACATTACAAGAAACCTTTGATAGGCCATAGCCAGAATCCTAAGGTAAGCAGAAAAAAGTTGATCTTTATCTATAAATATGGAGACAATTGGTTCTTGTACTGAAATGTCTGTTTATATTGATTTCAGATAGGGAGGAACAGACCAAGAAAAACAATTTGGCTAAATTGAGCCATTGAAGGTTCAGCTGAGCCTGATTAAATCAACGCAATTATAAATTTAGATACAATTCTACTATCAAAATCTGGCCATTACTTAAAACAGAAAAAATGAAAACAGAGTTTTAGGAATTGGGAAGTCAAATGATAGGCTACAGACATAGAAAGGTTTGAACTGGTTGTGGAAGTTAAAGAATTGAAACTTAAGTAATTGATACTACCTATGCATACAAGTATCTAGCTGTAAGATAGAAACCATTAATTTTAATATTTTAAAAAAAATATTTGAAATGAGTGTTGTTTAAGCAAGGGAGATTAAAAATACAAGTATCAGCCAGAATCTGAAACACAGTATTTTCTTGGAACTAAAATAGGAAACTGAGGGGAACATGAAAGCAATACATCTTCAGTAAAAGCAATTTTTAAAAATAGGTTTGAGAAAAGATATAAAAATCTAACAGTATAGTTGAAGTCTAAGGAGAGGATCTGCTTAATTTTTAATTTCATCTTAATCTCATTTTTAAAGAAGCTATACGCATTATTCCTGTGTACATGTCTCTGTGTGTGTGTGTGTGTGTCCCCATCTTTCCGCGTCTCGAAAAAGTCCACTTAAACACCTGACAAAAGGCAGCAGAGATTCGCTGCTCCAGCTGGTCCATACGATACCAGGCTCAAGAGCTGCATGCAGTCCGTGAAGCCTTTGGCCAACCCAGAAGTGAGTGGCAGAGCATCAGCCCGCGCGCAGGGAGCAGCCAGCCGGGGCAGCCAGCAGCAGCGGTCTCGCCGAAAGGTGCGTGTTGGTCCACGCCAGCCGCAGAGCATAAGGTCCCCTGCCCAGCCACCAGGAGAAATGAGGGTGGGGGTCAGGAAGAGGAGTTTAAGTACTCCGGTGGGGAAGGCAGAGGGGACACAACGGAGATGCCAGGTTGTTAGGATGAATGACGAGATGCCAGGTCTGAGGAAAACAGACCATATTCTGTTAGTCACAGAACTGCTTGTTCAAACAAGAACCCAACAGTCTCTATCTCTGCCTACTTACAACATTTTCAAAACTATTGAAAATGAAAAAAAAGAGAAAAAATATCACCCAAAAATCCCAATAAGGGTTAGGATACTGTTCAGATTCCGCACAACGTACTTGCACAGAGCAATGGGAATTAGAGGGTCAGCAGGCCTCTTAGGGAGCCTTTCTTGCTATTTAGTAAATACTTTTAATTCCCTGAAATGCCATGGTAACCTTTTAATGACCTTACTGAGCCCCAATTCTTGTGACTGCTTTGTAACATTATAATTTCTAAATTGCTACCCAGTCTTACAGATTTTAAAAACTGCAAAATGCTGCATTTTTAGATAGATGTGCATTACATGTTGTTCTGATGAAGTGAGGTCTTGTGGTTAATACACAAACTGAGCATCTTGAAGTATAAACAAGAATTTAGGAGAGGAGAGACTGCTCACATCATTTAGGAATTTACTGTGTAATCTTTAGCAAATCACTTTATCTTGCTATGCCTCCATTCCCCATATATAAAACAGGGTAATACTTGCTGTAAAGATAAAAGCTGTCACATGTGTCCTCCTTTTAAAAACTAAATGTCATAGAAAAGCCTCTAGTTAAACAGTTAAAACCATTTCTTGCAAATATTAAGGAAAAGATCAATTTTCTTTGTTATCCAGAACAAAATTTCCCCAAATATTCTTATTCAGTACATCATATCTGTTAAGCAGTTTGGTTCTTTATATAAGAAGTGATCATACTGAGTCCACAACTTTACCTTTTTTTAAAATCTGCCTTATAAATTTACTAGCAGTCTATAAAAGTTCAGTAAGTTTCTTACTGCATTATCCTGACAGAGACAACGAGAATCACAGACATAAAGCTCATAACACTGTCTGAGACTACAGCTTAGAACACTTTTCAGGCAACTTTTCAGCACACTATGAAGGACTCATGCTTCACCATCGTACATTCAGTATCTATGACAAATGATGACAACTACATGTATGTAAATCAGGCCAAGATAAAAGTCCTACAGCAAATGCAGTGGCTACGTTACCCATTATGTTCTTTTGATTTTGATCCTTTTTCAGGTATTAAGATATGCTTAATCAAATCAGATTATTGACTCCACCTTTGGAATTCAACAAATCAGCGGAAAAAGCTGGGAGACCTCACAAAACGGTACGATCGCTAACAGACGATGGGCCAGCCTGTCAGCATAGTGACAATCCGTCACACATCAATAGGAGTTTGGATTCTGAAGCCTGAGCTGTTGAATCAGAGAGGCTGGAAAACTGGCAAGGCATAGGACCGCTCTCCCAAAGAGGGTGTGGGGCATGGCAAAAGGACTCTTGGCATCGTTCTCAGGGGAATAGTTTGGCTCATGTAAGGACTGGCTCCAACAAGTTCTGAAGGAAGCTATGCTCAGGCCTTCTCTGCAGGGGAACGTATTTTATGACACAGGGCCTTTGATGGGACTCTGGATAGGAGTTTAGAAGGTGCCTGAGATAGCTGCGAACCTAACTGAAGATGAATGGGGAATGCGTGACTGCATCTCTGTATATGAAAAGAATAAACGGAAGTAGCTAACGTGAGAAAGAACATGGAAAAAATGTCTGTGAAGAGAATAAATAAGATAGAGATAGCAGAACTGGTGCATAATCCTATCTTTTTCTTAGAAAAAGAGACAAAATTCTTGCAAGTTAAAGTGTCTGTATTTTCTCAATTGACTGTATTTGAGCTGATACTCTCCAAGCGGTGACCTTGAAAAAGCCATTTCATATTGAAAGAGAACTTTTACAACTCCGACATTAACATCACAATGCTCAGATCACGAATTACATTTACTTTATTTAATTTAATATTACATGCATTTTAGACACTGATTCATATTGTTTATTTGCAGAAGTAGTAATTCTTAATGTACAAGTAATAACCACTGCTGTTACGGTGAAATTCAGTAGCATGCACTGCACATACTTGTGTGCAAAGGTATTGTTTTCAGTTAGAAAATTTTAAGGTCATGATTTCTAAATTAATATTGTACATAGAGCTTAATTTTGGTTTTATGCAGACATTGCATAGCTGATGATTAGCTTCTCAAGAAAGACTGGAATTGTGGTACCAGTATTGTTGAAGCAGATCAAGTGACAGTAGCAAACAAGAAGATTTGCAGAAGAGGCATAACTTTCAGGGTTGAAAGGTCAGCAAGTACAGCCTAGGATAAAAACCAAAAAGGCCTGTTAAACTTGACATTTGAATCAAATTTCTTTAAAGCAAGTCAAAATGTCAGAAAAAGATTCAAATACTACAATACTAACAACAATTACATTCAGACCTGGCTAGAAGCAAATTATGCAGGTTCATGTTAGTGCCTTGTTCTATTATTTTTCATTCTAACATTTCAAAGAAAAAGCATATGTTTATGTATATAAACCAAGTAACTTTATTTTAGCCTTTAGCCTTACTTCAAATATACATGGCATCATGAGTGAATAAGGGGTCTAACATTTCAACTTGCTTCTAAAAATAATTGGGAATTAAGAATCCTTATCCTGTGGCTTGGCTAGTACTTGTGAAGTAAGTCCAATGTGATGACTCAAATAGTCAACATCTTTCATGAAAGTATGTTAAAAAAACCAAAGTATCATCACAAGCTCTCAAAGTTTGGAAAAAATACATCACCAGATTTTTGGGAAAAATATCTTTTAACAAATTAGTAGAGATAAACAATTATAATCTTCATCATAATGACTTGATTTTCTTCATTTCCCATCTGTAAAATGACAGTACTCACAGTAAAATTTCAGATCAAATATTGACAAAAATAGTCTTATAAAATTTTTGTAATATCAAAAAGCACAGAAGCAACTACATTAAAATGCACTGAGAAAAAAGGTACAAACCTCCACGATATTTCAAAAATAATATATCCCACAAACATAGATTATGTATTAAAATAGAAATCTGATCGTACAACATAATTTGGTAACATTACATTTTTGTAGCAAATATACTCTTTTATTTCTCTTTACTCCAGAAAAGCAGTATTATGTACTGCATGTTCACAATTTCCTTTTTATCTAAGGTAAGAATTTAGGCAGAAAGATTTGCACTATGTACCACATGCCATGTGAAGCTTAAGTTACTCTTGTTGGCAAAGCATCAGAAACTATTTCAATCTCCTGAAACTGAAACTTATCCTTACTTCAGCTGCAGCCAGTGATGTCACCTCCATCAGGTTGACTGCTCGGAAAGCAAACACAGCAGCTGCCAGGACTGAAAGAAAATGCCCAATATTTAAGTTGCTAACCTGTTAATTAGTGGTTAGAATGAATCTTGATGGAAAATACCAATTCTCACTGCCTTAGAGTAATTATTTTGATTCTGAAGAATAATATACAATGGATAGCTGTGTTTCAGTTTCTTTGGCCTTTCTTTACAATGAATAGGAAAAACACAACATTCTTTCAGAAAAGTCTGAGTGAAAATGCTTAAGGTGAGTAGCTTTTAATTAAAAGGGACAAGGTGATTTATGATTAGTTTATTTCTAAGCCAATAACTTTATTTAAATAGCAATATTTGAGTTGTGAATATTATATAAAATAAATGAACTTTTAAAAAATATACTCTTATATAAATGTATCTCTCTACATAGCTGTCTTACATGTACAAATAAAACCAAAATGTTTTCTTTTCTCTTCTATTCACCTACTTTGTATTTAAAATCTGACCCAACTGAAGATACATGTCTTCCTTAGAACCCCCATCTAAAACCTTGCATAAAACTTAGGACATAATTTCCTTTATAAAAAATAAGTACAAAACTTTCAAAGTCTCTTAAAAGATGGGGCTTTGAAAGAAGAAATCCAGCAAAATCTGGGGAATTCTCAGTTGCTGTAAGTACTGAAAAACTACTTGCCATAAATGAGTAACATGAATCTTTTATTTTGTGAAAGGTGATAAACCCATTTATCGTTACCACTGACACTGAGAGAACATCTTATGTTCTGTTCACAGAGCGCTTAGCATTTTTGGAGTGTCGTCATAAAAAAAAAAAATTACCTCACATATTTTTGTTAGAGATGCAGTATTTATGCAATTCTAGTTTTCTAGAAGTTATACTCTTTGAGTATGTATGTAATCTGCTTTCAGCATTCAAACAGCAACTGTTTTCTTCTTGTCACAAAACACATAGAAGCTAACATGTATTTGCCTTACATCCACCCGGACTTAACACTTTTTGTAAAAACAATTCTATTACCAGCAAGAATTTCTAGAGAGTTGTATCCCAGGATTCTGTCCCACAGAAGCAAGAGCTGATCTGTAGCTAAATAACCAGAAAATGCCCGTACCATCCATTTAAATGAAATTCGTAGCCTGCAAACAAGTGATAAACAATAGTTATTATACCTCTGTTTCCCATAATGATCAGACAGATCCTCTATAAAGTAAAAATATTTTATTATTCTTCTGCATTTCTCTTCCAGGAGGAATAGCCATTTTCTCTTGCTGCATTAATAATCAATATTTTCCTTTGCAACAGCCATCAGAAAACTATTTAGCATCTCATTTGACAAAGTACTAATATCATTAAAATACTCTGACCAAACAACCACATTAGAGGGATCCTCAGCTGTTATCACCCTCAATGTTTCCTCCTTTCTGCTATTATGCTATTTTGCTGGATACCAATTATAACAGTAAGATTTTCAGGTTCTGTTACATTTGGTGCCATGAGTACACTATAGAATGACAGCCTCTTGCTCTCTCTCCCCTTCCAGGAGCTTCTGCTGTAACTAACATATCTCTGCGTCTTCTGTCCCCTAGGAAATAAATCACTTAGTTCCATCAGATCTGACATGAATAACTGAAACTTAGCTGAATAATGCAGCATTTCTCATAGAGCAATTCTCGTCTCTTTTTCACAGAACATACAGAAGATATGCACAAAGCACGTATACGCAGGTTAGACAAAGAACTCCAACTGACTTTCAAGGAAAAATGGCACACTGATGTTTGCACTTTTGAATAATTGCCCATAGCTTTCAAATTAAAATACTACAAACCAGCATTTTCAGAACAATGAATCTGCAACATCTGTAGCAAGTCAGAAAGGAGTACTTACGGCTGAGCCCCAATTTCTCGAAGGTGATAAAAGAGCTGGGGCAGATGGGTTTGTAGAAGAGTCTCGAACAGCAAACACAATGACACAATGCCCTAACAAAATAAGATCATATCCTGAATACTAACACTCATCCTGTCAAATCTGAGAAAACAGTATCAGCATGTAAATATACATGGATTTTTAATTCAAGCAAGGAAACACTATTAATGATATATAGCTCACGTAAGCAGGACACAAGTAGCTCTAATGCCTTCAGTCACTAAAGCCTTGCTCCTACAATTCTATGTATGTATTAGCAACATAATATACTTTGATAGTCCCTTTCAACTGTAAGATACTTATGGTATTTGTATGTCAGGGTCTAAGTACTTAGTGGCTTATTATAATATGACCTACTTGAAATATTTCCACTTTGATGAAATAGAACTCAGTTATACTATATATACACTAAAAACAGAGGATGTGAGAAATAACACATTTCTGATCACTAGAAACAAACAGCATTTGGGATAATTACAAAAAGTTAAATGTAAACACATTTTAAAATTTCTTTTAAAAATTACCATGAAAATTAAAAGATTCCTGTCTGACTGTTTTCTCTGCTACTAATGACTGAAAGCACAATACACAGCCTTGAAATGGTATATCAAGGAAAGGATTTTCTTTTAACCAGGAAATGTTTTCAAAAAGTAATGTAACTATTCAGCACTTTATGAAGGAGAAAAAAAAATACTGTGTTTTATTCTTCAAAAACAGAAGATAAGCAAATTTCTACAATTGTCTTACATTCAAGACAGCTGGTCCTGGTCATAACCATAACCAAATTATTTAAAATTCATCTAGTAGTGCTAAAAAGCATGTGCTGTCACACAAAGATACTTGAGTTAAAGAAACAGACATTAACTGGATATCACTGAAACAGTATCTATATATGACTATATTTTAGTTCCTCTACCCCAGAAAACACTAAAGTGTGTGCACTTACATGTTGTTGATTAAAATGAAAGCAAGTATGCATTTATGTGACTTCTTGAACTGAGAAACCTATTACATAAAAGACTTGACTCTCAAAAAAAAAAAAAACCCTCATAAAATGAGAACTGTAGTATTTTAAAGTACATTACATTCTACAGCAAAGATTAACATTGATGTAGAAAACAAAAATATCCAAACTGGAGTTACCTAATATTCTTTCCAAGCTTGCCTGAAGTGTATATATATATCTGTATCTCAATCACATAGAAAATCATGCCATTGTATATTATTGTTCCATAGCAAACAGAATATCAAGTGAGTGGGTTTTAATTCCTAATGAACTTACAGAGGGATGAGAAGAGATGGAATGAAGTCTGAAGAAAAAACGCACATACATCTCACGGAATATCTGATACAATTTGGAAGGTTCATGGTACAGAAAACAAAGTGGAGCAACTGAAAGGATAAAAGAATTATAATTGCCTCAACACTGTAAACTGCTGAAAGAGTTCAATGATTAAGTGCATGAAGTATGAGGAAAACCCAAGTAATTTATAGCAGTACAATTTACAAAAACAATACTAAACCAATTATTTAGAAAGAGATATTTTATAACAGAGTCTATCATTTGGCGTAAAAAGTTAAGAAAGGGAGTACAATACATTCTAGGTAATAGTTCTATATATTTCAAGAATCTAAACTAATTAGAACCTGCTTGCTATAGTGCTGGCTTCCTCAGCATAAGAATAAGGGTGGCTTCTCTGCGGTGTAGGGCAACGATATGTTGAACAGTACACGTTTTTGATTCAACCGTCTGTAACCTCCAATGTGCTCCTGGGCTAGTGACCATTTCCCAGTTGGTTCCCCATACGTAAGACTGGAATAAGGTTAGTGCTTGAAGATGGGTTTTGCGAAAATGAAAATATTAAAAAAATAGCTTTTGGTTGCCACAATAACATCACATAAGTATGACTGATTGATAGAGACCTGTTTATTTCTTGTAAGAGCTGAAAAACATGGACATTTGGTATTTTACTGTTTAGAAGTCTTCTAATATACCTGATTCAAAATAACAGTTGGCTACATTTGTAAAGCAGCGGTTCTCAAACTTTTTTCAATTAGTCCCTTTTTTCTTTTTGTAAAAGTCTAGCATATAGATAAATCTATTGTATGTATATGCTGTACAAACATAATCAGTTCCCCCTGATTTCTACTGCATTCATTCAATGCATGTTTCGCAGACAGTTGTTCTAAACACATTTCTGTAAACAGCCTTTTCATCTGTCCATTCACTCACCACATCTACTGCTCCATTTTACAGATGCATTCACTCTGGATGACAGCTTACGCTTTAACACACTCATAGTCTATCTCTACATTCACCTTCCCTTCCAGTTTTATTTACACAAAGATAGGGATACAGACACATTTGTCTGCATACATATGTATACATATGCACACAGATTTATGTACTTTTTTTATATATATGGGCGTATGCATGTGTGAATCCATTTTCATGTACATCTATATTAGAGAACGTGGCTTAATAGAAAATAATGACATATGTGTATGAGAGGTGGGGTGCTAAGGTAGGGTGTGATGTTCACAGAAATGTGTACTTACGTAGGGGTAAGAAAAGCAGAGGGTGTTACTACCGTGTATGTTTTTAAGGATTGAAGATGGAGGTGGAGGAGTCAGCAGCGCGCATATGTACAGAACGGCCAGGAGGATGACAGAACAGTGCCTGACAGTTGGCACCAAACAAGCGTATGCATGCGAACATGCAAAAGTGTACAGGATTTATATAAGGACCCAGACACTTCCTCCGAGAGCAGCACAGCATGGAATATGTAGGATGCTCTGCTTGGTCCCAACTACCTTACCCACCGCCTGGAGTTACACTAGTGTTTCTGCTGCCTTGCTTTTCAGCCTCCCTCCTTCTCACAACCAGCATATTCTGAGCCCTTGCAAAGAGAGAGGACAGGAGGGAGGGAAGAAGCTCACACCCAGTTTGAGAGATGCTGTTCTCAAGGGCAGAGTCAAATACAAACATTCTGAAAAGCAGTTTCACAAGAAAAAGTGAAAGCCTCCTAGTGAGTACCTAAGGAAGAGATTGTAACTAAGCTGTTCATTACTTCAAAGACTTGGATTCCCTACTCAGGTTCAAATTCGCATTTCATATTTAAATCGTCTGATTTTAATGATTGTGTGATCATTAAACTTTCTTATTAGCAAAACATAGCATTTTAAGTATAATCTTAAAATCTGCTTGCCCTGTGATGCCACAAATACCTCTGATAAATCAACAGGAAAAAATGGAAAGCTGTAACAAATAGTCTTACATTATTGGAGTCTCCCTGCACTACCTGTCTTGTTACATCTGAGACCTCAGGAGATTTTTCTGCTCTTCTAGAAATCTTGTTGATATTTGAACTTTCCTCTGTGCAGTAAAGTAGCAACCGCTCTATCATTTAATGCTCCTTTAACACCTGTTCCAGGCAAATGGATACAGCAACAGGCCTTTCACATAATTAGTGTTTTTAAGAACTCTTTTCACAGGTAACGTGGTCTACCCAGAAGTGAAACACAAGAACAGAACACTCTGTCAGCAAACTTTATCCCTCTATTCACATACATTAAGATGTACAGCTCAGCTAGTAGTTCTCAAAGAAGGAACTCCCACACAGTAGCGAGCTGTAATATAAGCAAATAGAAACAACCTGGCATTTTAAAAAGTGTATATACAACAGTCTTCATACACAAAGAAACAGAATACACACATGTTTAAAAGCTGCAGAAAAGTACACACAGCTTTGAACTGCAATATGATAAAAAGCAATCCTGAGGTTTTAAGAGTTTATGAGTCACACTTACCATACATAGAAAAGCCGTGAAAAGGAATTACACCTACAAAACAAAAATATTTCTTTTTTGTTCTATATTTCTTTTTATCCATGCAAAAAAATTGATTTTTTCCCCAAGTTTTGAAATTGTATTCTGTCTACCAAAGGAATAAAATATTTCCTTGTTATGGCACCTGCAGTCTTAGATCTCAGTCTTGTAAAAATTTAAGTACAGTAATTGTACCACTTCACTACAACCATGTGCTTAAACACATTCTATAGTTCCTAGAAAGCCAAGTAAAGCTCCATTTCCATGAAGTTATTATGTATAAGCTTTGCTGAAATCAGAACCTAATTTCAGATAAATGACAACCTGTAAATGTCATGCATTGACAAGGAGGGAGCAGGAAGAAAGGAGACCAAGACCTCTAATAATTCATGTAGTACTCAGATAAAACATTTAGAGGACTTGGTAGCTGTATCATAACAGTTCCCTCCTCCTTTCCAACTGATCTTAGCTCCCATTCATTAATTTTCATATAGGACTGGTAAGAGGGAGCTGCTTTGGCAAAAGGTCATAAGGACAATGTTTCATGGCTACAAAACTGCAAAGAATTGCGAAGGCAAAAATGGAAGAAGGGGGAACAAAAGTATGTGCTACAACTGATGCCACTGGAACACAGAAGACATAAAAGACAAGGCCAAATACACAGATTTAAGATTGGTGACATAAGGCCTTGAAAGAAAGAGCAAAGAGCTTGAACTTAACATACAAATGCAGCATGAAAATAAAGAAAGGATTCAATAGATAGGGGTTGAAATGGTCAAAATGAGAGCTGAAAAAAAGAATTTTAACAACTGAAGTAGCCATAACAGCAATGATATTAACTTAAAATTATATAGATTTGCTATGTCTGAGTTTTTAAAGTGAATGCACATTTTGAAAGGAAAAGACTTTAAGGTGTGGTTTGTTGAGTACTGAAAAGCTGGGGTCAGAGAGTTTCAGCATGTATCATTCAGATCCTCTAAGTGGTGATACAAGACTGGAATACAAGCTGCTGCACCAGAAGTTGTTTTCTTTCTCCTTCCCACACACATAGATGAACTCCGTATGTGACTACTAACACCAGGCTGAATGTGGTTTTGGAGTAGCTTCAGTCCAGCTTACTCCTTTAAATTAATGAATTTCGCAGAATAATAGCAAAACATAATTTGTAATAGAAAAAGAAGTCATCATGTATTTGAGAAAAAAATCTCGTATCTTTCCAATCTACCACTAGAGGAGGCAATAGTATAATTCTTACCATTTGGAGGATAGAAAACAGCATACTCTTCCATTCCGAGTTTTCCTGTGAATCACCAAACCACAATTAAAATGTGATTAAACTGTTAAAAGGCGTAAACCTTTAAATGAAAAAGATAGATTCTAAGTTACAATTATAAAAATCATAACTAATTCCATTATTGACTATTTCATATTGTCTAAAACAAGCAAGCAATGCAATAAGACAGGTACAGAGTCAGATATAAAACTAAAATGCAGCACCAATAAGGGAGGCTGACAAACAGCAAAAAAGAGGAGGAAGATTTCAGCAATGCTATCCCATAGAGATTTTATTTGGTTGTGTCTTAGGAGCTCTAAAGGTGTTTGCTGCAGACCTTGAAGACAGTGAAGCTCTATGAGGGGATAAGGTTAAGGGGATAATTCTGCCATGCTGTGGCAGACTGACCTAGGGATGGGAAAGGCATTTAAAAAGATGTAGGAACAGATAAAAAATATTCAAGGCTTCATTAAGCCTGCAACAGAGAGGAAGACAGATGGTATAGTTTTGATATAACAAAAAAAATATTTAAGTAATGTGTTGGATACAAAAGATTAATTAAGTCAACACAATCACGGATAGTACAGACTGACCATATAACTTTCTCTCTTCCTTGCAAAATTAACATATTAGTTAACCATATTTGAACTACAGAACTGAATAATTTTAAATCCGCTATTAAAAAAATTCACAATTCATTTAGAAATATAGGTGGTTTTAAGCATAATTACTACTAATTAAAAGCTGTAATTATTTTAGTTTTAAAATGAGAAAATTCAACTAGAAAATGTAATTACTTATATGAAAATTTATAGAATATTCAGCGATCTTTTAGATCTCTGTGTATTTTGTTCACTCTACACAGAAGAATTTAGCATAGGGAACTTTTGTCAGGTTCAATGGAATCCGGACTTAGATATTTTCCTGTAGCATGGATTGACTGAATTAAATTAAAAATTAACCTCCGAAGCTCTTGCCTACTACCCCATGAAAATAAAATCCAGCATTTTCCAATTACAGAAATCAGTTGTTTCAATAAACTAAAAAATACTTTTTACTTTTCCTTTCAGTAGTTTGCTTGCTGTGCAGCAGGGAGTTGTAATCTGGAAGGAGAGTATTTTGAGCATAAAGCACATCTCTTGGAAAATTAGCCAAAAATAGGACCTACAAGCCTTTTGGATTTACACTGCACAGGTTCAATCAGCAACTTCATTCCCCAGATTTGTCTAGGAATAAGTAGGATGTTCCCCTTAGCTGTGTTTCTGGGCTGCCATGGCTCTGTGCCTGAAGTGAGACCTGGGATTCCACTGCTGTTCTGCTCTCAGGTGAGCCCTGTGCTTGTTTCAAGAAGTAGGTTAAGAAAACTCCCTAATTCAGTTAAAGAGAGAGAAAAGACCTACAAAGCAATAAAGGAGGAAGCAAAAAATTAGAAAACAACCATTGCCTCTAGTGACATAAGAAGCAGCAAGAGGAAAACTGTCAGCAGAGGTTCTGTTCAAAAAATGTACTTGGTACAGGGATCACATTTGGCTAAATACACTGCCACGAGGGACCAAGGAAGAAAATAGGAATTAAGAAGGTAAAGGTACATGGAAAAAAAAGTGATTGGATGGCTGAATGATTCAAGAAGGAAGACAAAATTAGGAACCTCTGGGTAAAGCCAAGGCAGGTGAGGATCTAAGAAGCAAGGAAACAGAGCCCAGAGGTATGGCATTAGAAGTTGTCAGAGAAGGCAAGTGGACTGAACCAATAAAGTTAAGATTGTTAAGAAAAATAAGACTCACATGAGAACTTAAGCCAAAGAATGTCCAAAAGTAAGCTACCACTCTGGAAGATGCCATGCTTTAAAAAAAATCAGTATAAGTGTGCTTGGTAGAGCTCTACTCTCCCAGATCTTTGAACAGAGCCCACAGTTCTTCAGCAACATGTTCTGCTCCTCTCTGCAAATATCTGCAAAATTCACTGCTCTGGGAAGATAACATCCTACCACCACTTCCAGTTGCTAAATTTATTGAAGTTGCACAGGACAATGTTGTGTATTTAAATTTATAACGCTGATGAAGATAGATGTTGTCAAGATTTTATCATATTGTCATAGTTGTGTGTTTCATTTACTTTGGTAAAACACAGGAGAATTATTCACAGAAAACTACAGTAAAAAGAACAACATTGCAATCTGGCCTTCATGTGATCAGCTTCTAAACTGTCACAGAATCTGTGCAGATGTCAGCTGGATACATGAAGTTTTTACTAACGTTCTTTTAAATGTAGTCTACCAGGTGTAATGAACATAAAGGAAATTCACATACTGTATTACTGCAGCAGTCAACAAAAATCTATACACTCTTTTATAAAACAACTCTTTTTACCTCGTATATATGATTTGGGTGGGGTGGCACTGCTGTAAGTAAAGTGCTCCAATACAGATGTATCTCGGGAAAAACAGAGTAATACCTGTAGAAAAGACAGCATATAAAAATCAACTGACTTACTGGATCAACAAAGCAATGTCAAACAGATTTAAGGACCTGCTTTAACTAGCATCTGTTAGATGCTGTTGAAGAGAGCTAATATCGTTGAAAGCTCTTGATCAACTTAATTTACTTTCCTGTTCAAATTTCCAGGCTCACTTTGAACTTGCTCTGATTTTATCTTCACATTCATTTGTTGTAAAATATCCCCGTTCTCCTCTTTGCCTCTCAGCCTGGGTTTATCCCTTTCTGTCACATCATTAGTAACTGTGCATGCAACTGGCTGCTTTTACATCTATTAGGTTATTTTTCTATTCAGTTACTATGATCTGGGAAGTCCTAGTAAGTGAATAAGCAAATGAAACATTTACATTTTCACACGTGTGCAGTTCCACACATGTGATCCTTACATCCACTTTCATTCCCAGCAGCTTTACAGAATGCCTACACGATATTCAGTTATTTCAAAAAGCACAGATTATAATGTTCACCTCGCATCCATAAGTTCTGAAATGTATACTGTATTTTGTAAAATATATTTGTATTTTTTATTGTTTACATAAATGAAAAATCTAGTATTCACAGCAATTGAGTATAAAACTAAATATTAAAAGCATTCCTAGGGAAAAAAATTAACAACAATTTCATCCTATACGCAGTTGTAAAGAATGTAATAACCGGTATTGAACTTGAAAATTTTCAAGTTTTCATGCAATGCAAGACTGCACTATCAAGAATGTACACAAGAGGGCAGAAGTAAGACAGACTTCAACTTGCTGTTGACTTTTTTGCATAGTGAAACCTTCTCTGCTCTTGTAGGTTTTAAGAGTTTGTTTGTTTGTTTTAACTGTAGCCAAGGTGTAAAAGGTGGAAATGTTTCAGATGGTGTTTCACTACATAATTTATTGTGAATAAAAATGAATGGATTTTTCCTTCAACTAACTATTGCAAACATTTTCCAGGTAGGAGCATTCATCAAAAGGAAACATGCAAAACTGAAACACTGTGACATCTGAACTCATTGCTTTTTTTATTTTTTATGGAAAGCAGGTCATATTTTGAGACTTTTTCCTCTTTTGAACCTCAAAACTATTTCTCAGATACAAACACCTTTTAAAAAATAGTTTATCTTGAACAGTTTAAGTTAAATATTATTTTTGCGCAATACACCATCATTTTCATAGCTGCCAAAATACAGCTGACAATAACAATACACAGGCAAATGTAATTCTCTGTATATGTTAATTGAGGTGAAAGAAAAAGAAACTAATCTAAAAAGGACATAAATTATGTTCTCTCACAGGGGAAAGAATGTAACCTTAATTTAAGGCCCCCTTTTTTAGGAATACAGTGTCCAGTACAAGTATCTGGAAGTCTTTAAATGAAGACTATGCATCTTTAGAAGAGATAGACTCTAGCTCAAACATTAGTTATAACTATACCTAAAAACTGCTGGTGAAGGTCTTTGCATCTATTCATTATGCAGGACGTAAGACCAAAGTATTCGAATTGAACCTCTGGCCTGAAATAATGAATTTACAAATTTAATAATCTACGTATTATTTTTCTCATTCACACTTTGTAACTTTGTAAACTTTGGGATACAGAAAGCAAAGAGATTAAAGGAAACAAATTACATCATTTCACAGTGCTCTTCCTGAAAAGGATTGTATGCTACTAAAGAGGTACCAACAGTCCAACCAAATACCCTCATTGTTATTTTAGGCCCAAATTTTCTGGTTTTGATGGATGCTTTATCTGTTAAGTAACACACAGACAAACGCCACACTCTGATCAATGACTTGGAAAACTTAGAGGCAGTAACTAGTCATGAAAAAACCCACAAACCCAGTGCAAACAGAAATAATTTATCTGGTTTAAACATTTTCATTACCTATTTTATTTAGCCAATATTAAATTCCAGTTATCATATGAAATCAATAAATAATATTCCATATCAGTATGACTCATACTGCAAAATTTTTCCAGAGGCCACAGAACAAAATCATTTGGCAGCAATGCATTTGCAAGTGAGGTTGAAAGAGAAAATTATCAAGGAAAATGGATAACTTTCTTCTAGAAAAAGAGTCTGAAGAATACCACGAAGTAGCAACCAAAACTAGAGCAACTAATAATTATAAGTTTGAGATACTCTTTGCCTCAAAGCCTTGCAGTAAAACTAGGCACTTCATTTTTCAAAGATTTTTGGTTACTTTCCTTCAAATTACTCAGGATAGTTTAGTCCTTTTTATGATTTTCATTCTGTGATCATTCTTTTAGTTAATAGATATACATAAAAAATTAAAATACTATACTGTGCTATATATTGAGAATGATGAACAAAATCTATTTCTGATGGTCTTAAAACAAAAGATTATACTGTATACTAGTTCATACTCCATAGATTATAATCCTGTGTCCACTGGAACTGTCAGTTAATGACTAATAATATGCCTTAGTAGTCTACATAATGAATGAAGCAGAAACAAGAATGACAGTTCTACATCCCATGATGAAGAGAGAATGTTCAATAATGAAAACCATCTTTGACCCTTAAATCAAGAAAAACTTCTACAGGTAAATATTTTAGTGAATAAATATCAATGTTTGAGTTGTCATCATGTAGTCACTTTTCAAATTTTGATTCAGAAACAAATTCAGATACAGATCTTACTATTGGAACTATTTTAAGTAAAAAAAGGCTATAATTTCATGAGGTTATAATTTTAAGTATTAATGTTTAAATGCTTATTACGCTACAATATTATATGCAGACATGATTGAATAGTATGCTTAAATAGTAATGCATATTTTTATACCTATATGGACTAAGCAGCATTAAGGACAGTTTCTTGCTTAGTTAAATTACTATTTTTTATGCATTACCATCAAAGAAGAAATCATCTAGTTTCACATAGCTCTAATACAAAAAATTAAGCAAGTCTAACCAACAGATGTGACTAATGAAATTGAAAGCACTGTGGAAATGGTAAGTTTGCTGCATGACATTTATGTTGACACTGCAATCAACTACACATTAGGAAATTCATAAATTTAATATCCTTCTGTTTAAGGGCATTTGACAGGCAGCAACGAAGATAATTCTTTATAAATTAGCTGGGTTCCCCATTGCTAGAAGCAGCTTTGGAATGGGAGCAATCCTAAAAGTAACCATACGTATCACTACCTTATTCAGAATCAATGTCTTCAATTTAAAAATATGTCAATACAATATATTTTATACTTATTGCAGTAGGTCACTGTAAAGCAATACTATTTTTTTTTTTTTTAAACTGGAACCCTGAATATACTTCTCAAGTCTTAATTTCTATGTATGCCACAGCTGTTAATTATTTTATTATTGCAAAGCTGGAAGGGGGAAGAATATGGCTGACTGCTATTTTCTGGCTTACTGCATTGGAAAGACATTGTGTAGGGTCCTTCAGAGTAGGAGTTTTAGAACTGCTCCATCTGTTTAAGTGTACAAGATTAATTTACAGTATTGTTATTCAGAAGGGAAAGTACATGTAATGCAGCAAACAGATGCTGTCTAGGGTCCCACTGTACTCTGCCTACACATGAAACACAAAGGCAGTCCGTACTCCAAAGATGATACGATCCCACAGGAGTATAATTTCTAGCTTTTCTAAGAAAAAAATAGTTACATACCTGATATAAATAATCCTCAAAAACAAAGTAGTAGTCATCATTGCTTGCTGTCAGCTTTACATCCTGTAATCAAAAAATAGAGCAGTTTGAAGCTAAAAGACTTTCTTTTCAGACTCTTATAGAGGCAGACTCCCATAGAAGCTAAAATTAACACAGTGATAGAAGACACTGTTTCACCACTGAATCATGAAAGAGCTGTAGTTAAGCATATACTCCACATTTTAAAATAAAAAATGCTATATTAACTTGATGATGAAAATATTCAGAATTGAAACTTGAAATGGAAGCGCTTGGACCCCAGTGCTTTCTTCCATGCAAAACCAGTTATTTTTTCAAATGAAGTTACCGTTTCTTTACGACTTAACGGCTCAACTCAAACAAATGTCTTACACAAGAGCCAACACAGGCACAAGGAGAGAGTTTACAATAATAAATCCACACTAATTATTCTTACACTCCTTAAAACCAAACCATCTAACACCTTTGTTAAAAAACCAAGATACTGGTGTGATGAGTATATAAATCACTTAATCACTGTTTAGTGAATCACTTACTTTGTAAATCAGACTGTCGACTAAAAGGTCGTGCTGAATCACATTTGACTTAAGCTGTTCATAATACAAGATATCCTAAAATTAAAAATATTATCATCAGTCTGAGATGCAACTTTAATTTATATTTAAACTAACAAAGACAATTTTTAACAAAAAAATTTTTAAAAAATCAAGAAAAATCATAAGCATGTATTCAGCTGAAAAACCCACTGCATAGCTTATGAAGCTTTCTATCACTGTTTATTCTAACTTAAGCCTTAAAAAATGAGGCAGATATTTGAGAGTTTATAAAATTACCTCCCCTTTAGATAATTAATAAAACACAAATGAAGGAACTTATTCAAACCAAAATCCGTATCTTCCAACCTTTGGGTCTCTACAGCTAAAACTTTTTCAAGCTCAAAATCATTATGTTTTTTGTCTTTGTTACCCCCTATTTTCATGCACCTCTCCATGAATAGGCTCTGTCATATCTTCTAGCATTAGTGAGTTGCTGCAAATATTTGATATTAATCTAATATGAATCTCTAAATAGTATAAATTTATTAAAAGATTAAATGATAAATACATGAAAAAGTCTTGTGAAGAATAAAAAGAACTCAGACCTTTTTTTGAACTCCAATTATTTCCTGAATGTCTACAGAACATACACAAGGGTGAAACGATGGGGAAGTATCAGAACAAACACTTCTCTGCTTTTGCTTATTCTACCCCTTTCTTCTTAGAAACAGTTTGCAAAGGAACCAAAAAATTAAATATCGCGCTATCATCATGTAATTCTTATATCCCTAAACACCTCTCTGTCATTATGCATACAATTGAATACCACAGTTTCAAATGGATTTGGAATAAATCTGTAAACTAAATCAGCAGTCCCAAAGCTCCTTCCCACTTCACAAAACTATTTTGATTTCAATGTGTCTCTACAGGCACCACACAAACGCTTGTATATTCCAAATTTTACATAATATTTGCTGCTGATTTCTTTGAAAAAAAAGGTAAGTCTGGAGTAAGGATTTAAGGAACAAGTGGGAAGTAAGATGAAATTTTGAGAGGGAGAGAATGGAAAAAAGTGAAGAGAAGGCTAGGGAACATTGTAACTGTTCTTTGTATTAATCCAAAACCGAGAAGTGGTGAAAATTATACACTTAGAAATTATTAGAATTAATACTTTATTAGACTGTTAAGTTGAAATGAGGACAAAAGGTGTATTTATTAAGTACTGATAACTACCACAGGGAAAATATTTACATTTTTCTTTCTGAGAAATAAAAAGGGCCGGTATAAATAGTATGCTATTTCTTTATGAAGGATCAGACACAAATATTTACTAAATGTAAATTAATTGCAGTATGAATGTATCACTCTGTTCTTAAGAGCTACAGAGAACTGCTCTAATATTCAAGTCAGCATTTTAAAGCATCAACACTGTATTCTAATTAAGTGTAACACCACCAAATGAATAACATCTAAAGGGTTTTTTTTTGCCACCTCAAATGACTGTATATATTAGAACAGAAGGAGCTAATAAAAAAACCCTCTTCTTTTTCATGCTAAGCAGATTGCATGATTAACTGTTTCTGTTGTACATAGAAGTACTCCTGCATAAGAAATGGTACAATGAAACTCATGGCTACAAGGGTACTAGATAATGCAACTACTAATTTATTGTAATTTGGGAAAGAGATTCTAATAACCTCATGGTTTCCTGTTATCATTTCCTAGTTTGAGAGAGTAATCTTTTGCTATACACATACAGAGCACACTTTAAATTTATATGCAGAAACAAGTTTTCTTCTTAAAATACTTTCACCTGAGGTCACACAGTGGCCCCAAGCCACAAGTTAACGTTATCAATAGTCCAGTATTTTGTACTCAGTTTATGTTTTATAGTAACACTCAATTATGTTTTACATTTGCTTACAAGAGTCCATTTTCCCGTTATTATTAAAATTATTGTAAAACCACAACTAAAAAGTAATCACTTCAGTACATGGTCCATTCATCTTAACAGTCAGAATAACTTGGTATTAAGTTGAATTGCGGCTGGTTTATTCACACTTAGGATAGACTTTGTGATTTGGCACGCAAGCAGTAACTTCACTGAATGTATGAAGAACAGATCTCTGTACAAGAAAAAAACATTAATAAATGATGCTCTGCTGTACTGATATCATGAGTTTAGAGTAGTTTCAGTGCAGTTTTGTTTATGGCATCATGCGGAACTATGATTATCATGTTATTAATCTCTAAAATATTTACTAGCTTCCTATGCCTTAATTCAACTGCATTATTAATTGAAGTGTAAAGAATCATGTCAGTTGCAATTACGTATAAATAACAGTTTAGTATAGCCAGTGAACAGTATCTTCACAGAAGTAAAACAGAAAACCCCTGCAAGACATTTAAATTAAATAAGTTTAATCAGAACAGAATATTTGCTATTTGTTAATCCAGAATGACACTTGTATTTAAAACATTTTGTAAAATTTCTTTTCATTTTAGCAAATGAATCAATAAAGCTGAAGTGTAGAAACTTTCCATTTCTCACCCTTCAGCCTTGTGTACTGATTTTAAAAAAACAATCTACTTATTAGAATATAGGGTAAATATTGCCTGAGTTAGAACAGAGATTTGAATCACTTAGCCTTAACCAACAGGACGTACAATTTCTGAAATATATATCCTTCCTTTTCCTGCTTAATTTGTTTTAATTAGTGTAAATATTTCAAGCAGTTAAAAAGTAGTAAGAATAAGCAACCTGGCATTTAGGGTACTGTCTTGAGAGAACAACTGTGCTCAGATTCTTCAGCAACTCGCAGAAATTGAATGGAAGTTCTTTATAATTCAGTTGAATACTTTCTTCAGTATGATTTTAAATAAAAAGCGTAAAAAGTTTATCACCTTTTCTTTTTTCATAAATAGTAGTTTCTCCTTTGCTTTTATAAAAATCCACTAGGCCAGCTTGGTCATTTTGCAGAAAATAAAACACCGTTTGCCATCACTGTTATAATTTCAGCATGAACCAAAACGTGAAACACAACTCAAAACTCTACCCTGAAAAAGTTAATAGCAAATTTACATTGCAAATATTAGCAGAGTAAACCAGTACTTAAATATTTTAACAGTTAAATAATTTAGTAAAAAGACTGGATGGCCAAGCTGTCCACCTGAACTAGAACTCATGAGAAAAAGTTTGGGAAACAAATCAGAAATTATTAAAAAGGGACTTGCAATGCAAAAACAATCATAACCATTCTAGGAATAATGGTTTTAATTCATTACTTGTCATTCATTTTCTCTTAAATTGCGATTGTTGTGATGCAAAATGAAAACAGGGCTTGGGAATCACACCAGTTTTTTACATGCAACTTGACCACAAGTAGATCTTGCCCATGGCTCTTAGTAAGACAAGAGGCTTGCGATTTATGCTGTATTAATAAATATATTCCTTATATCTGAATCATAAACAAGATTGGTCACAGATTTGCTTTCAAGCCACATGACCCTTTTGCTTGGTGATCAGTTTTTGTCACTTGCACAGTGAGAAATGTTTTTGAGAGCCTCACTCAGGCTTCAAGAAAGATTCAAGTCTTGTTTTACTATTTTATTGGTTGCATTTTTTCCTCCAGATGAGACAACTGACTACTACCAAGTTTCAGGGGTGTCCAAAAACGTGGCAGGTTTCTTAGCCTAAAACATTTTAATTTATAAAACCAAAATCTTACCATTTTCATATGATTCTACCTTTCTTCTCTGTCTGCCAAATCTTAATGTAATCTCAATTTATAAACATTTTACTTTTTGAAAATGTGTTGCATTTTCATATAGACCATAGCTTTTCTCAAAATAATATGTATTTTTTTATATTGCACCTCCAAACATATTCATCTTTCCAAGTTGAAACAAAGTACATTTCAGGATTTCAGTCCTGACCTTACAAAGCCACATACCAAATTTTCCACCCAAAAACCTCATACTGTATCCACCTGAGAGCATAAGGAAAAGGGAGCTCTAAAAGTAGCTCACAGGCAAGAGAGAACAGTATCTTTCAGCAGTACCCAGCAAAGCTAGTTTAAACAGAATCTGGTGATACACCTTCTTTGAAATTAAGGTTTGGATTACTCAGCGGACTCTGTTCAGGCACAGTCCACCTGTGGCCTGTCATGAAATCCCTGGCACAGGAGCTGCACTCTCACTGCTGAACTGTAGGCAGCTCGTGATTCGTTTTTAGGTTACCCTTGTCCATTTGATTGCACTGTCTATGCTTGCCTCTCAAATCTAATACAAGAAATGGGTGGGTGAAGCACAGAACTAGGAATATGAAGAAAGACTAACACTGGGGAGTCTAGAAGAGAGACACAAAGATTTGTGGGAATTGGATGAAGCCTAAGGAATGGCAACCAGCACTAATTAGGTGAGCTGTAGATTTTGGAACAGAAATACCAGAAACAAGTACAAAACAGAAAAATAAACAGATTACATAAACAGACAACAGAAAAAGAGCTAAAGGAAGTCCCTCCTGGCAAATCCTGGAAGACGATCCAAAACTTATTCTCCTTTTACCAGACACCTGTGAGATCTATTTGTAAGGTAAATCCTTCTCCAGTCAAAGATAATAACAGTCCACTACTGCTACTGGCTTCTCAGCTGTTTGAATGGTGCAGTGGGTAGCTTTGGCTACTGATCCTTATATAAATAGCCCTACTGATAAGGCACAGTTAGATCATGCTCCACTGTGAACTTACCACCTCACCTATTTATTAAGTTTTTAAACCTAGGAAATTACATTCAGTAAAAGCTGTAGTTAAGGAAAGCATTACTAATTCCTGCATGCTGGAATTTTCAGAATTAAGATTGATTTCAACCCATTAACCTAAAAATATTAGAAGAAAAAAGCCTATAAGATACTGAACAATTTTGGTTTTTAGGCACTGCTTGAATAGCATGCAGTGAATAAACAATAGGGTAACACACCAAACAGAAGGAAAAATAAATATTAAACAGAATCTCAGTAAGTGTGTGCCATCCATTTTATGCAATCAATGAGGCAGACATCCCACAGGAAAAACTGT